GTATTCTCAGCCGTGGGTTCAGTGTTGAAATCCCTTCTTCCTGTATTTGCATAGTAGATATGCTCACCTCACATTCCACCTAAGCTGGATGGAATCAAATCTCTTACTTAAGATACCATGCACAAGCCAGCATGGTTAGCAGTATTGGTGAGTGTAAGTACTGCTGGTGGAAAAGCAGAAGCTCTGGTCTGGGAAAGGACCTGCCTTAATTATCTTCCTCTGCTACAATTGCATAACAGCTGGTATTCAAACCTCCCCTGTATGGACCAGCAAAAATCAAGACCAAATGCTTGAAATAGCTTTACTCTGTGCTACTCAGGTGCTGTTTTCTCCTATTTGTACTTGCTCCAAAAAGGGAAGCTGCCAGCATTCACACCAATGTGTTTGACAAATTGGCAGCCAGGCCTCTTGAAGAGTGTTCTAGGCCGAGGCATGGAAGTCCCCCTGTTAGGTCTGGAGGGCCTGGGCGAGGGAAGGATGCCAAACCATTAGCTTGTCTTCCAGTTTTGAGTCTTATTTTAGTGCACAAAGTCTACAAGCCCCTTTTCAGGCCTGAATCAGCTCCCTAAAAAAATCTCCTCTAGCAGAGCCCATGATTTGGCCTTTGTAAAAATGAAACGCCACTTACCGCTTAGAACACCTACAGTTGAAGGTCAGGTTCGGTTTGCTTGTCTGCTTTATGTTGTTTCCTGGTTAAGGCCATCAGTTGTAGGCAGTGTTACCCCCCTCTCCAGGTGTCAGGGGATGTGAAAGGCCTTCAGCAGAGAGTGGAAAGAGCATTGGCTTGGACTTGGAGGAGCCTGGTTCAAATCCTGCCTCTCATTTTTCTTTTGTGACTTTGGGCAAATCACATAACTTCCCTGGGCCTCATTTTCCTTATCTCTAAAATGATGCGGTTGGATTAAGTGACCTCTGAGGCCCCTGTATTAGCTCTAAGTCTGTGAAGGAATGTGTTCTTTTTAAGGGATTATACTTCTATAGGTTGCTTCCATTGCCTATTTGTGTGAAGAACTAGGGTTCCTGAGAGTCTTTCTAATGAGGGGAAGAAAACCAGCATCCAGATTTCCCAGAGCCATGTAGCAAATGCTTCCGATAATGGGAAGCTAACTGCCCATTCTAGAGACCTGACAGGGCCAGTTTAAGATGATTGGGAGTTGTGGTCCCCTCTCTGATTGTCTACAGTGTTTATTTGGTTGATGGATGCCTGAAGGCAACAGGAGAACGGATGAATCAGGAAAAAATGCATTCTCTTTTCTCATTATTAATCTCTGTTGGATGAGGCATATTATTGAACCAGGTTCTAAGGTTAGCCCCATCAATTGGCATAACAACCTTCCAGACAAGAGTTTCACACGTTTTAACAAACAACGGGTAACTCCTGTGTACGTGATTGTGAAAATAGATGAAGTCATTAGAGGTGTGGCACAGCAGATAATTGCTCCCTAGCAAGAATTGTAAGAGAAATCAGAAGTGCCCCAAAGTGTGTGAGATTCTGTCAAAAACCAGAAACTTTTAAGCTGAGTGATTAAAACGCATTTTTTAGCAAATCGTCTTTTCCCTGGCAGAGAGATTTCTCTAACATCCAATTAATAACCCTTGTGCAAATTTCTTTGAAAAATAGCATGTGGTGAAATGTACAGCACAGCCTCTAGTAGCATTCTTACCACCAGTCTACCAATATTTCCACCCAAAAAAAAAAAAAAGGTCGTTGGAACAGTGAAGACTTGGATAGGAGGTATGTGTCATTTTCTTGCCCGGTTCTCAAAGAGAAAGATTGTGTTTGAAAACTAAGTCATTATTGGTCTCCAGAGTAGCATACTGAGCTTTATTGTTCCTATTGCCAATGTGAGTTATTGATTTGCAAATGTACAGAATTCCTTTCTAACTCTCTTGAAGTGTGGTGGATGGAGACTAATTTTCAGGGAGAAAGATGGGATTCATTTCTTGTAAAACATTTCCTAGGTGGCTGACTGTGCTCCTGCTTTTAAGATAGTGAGGCATAGCAATAGGACATACTCTCCCATAGTTGTACGGGGCTATTTGCAATATTCATGGAACAGTGAGGCAAAACTGAGTTAGGCAAGACCTTCAGAAGGTCCATCTGGTCCTTCCCAAGGGCTGCACTGTGGAGTAGTGGCCTGCAGAGTCCCTAGCTGGGTCAGAAGTGAGAGAAGGGCAGATTCTTTAGTATGGTTGTTTGTCCATCTTCTAGTGTCAGCATTCATGTTGACAAAAAGGGGTGAAAAGGTCCCTAAGGACTCTCTTTTTATAGATACCAGTACCTCACCTCTCTCTGCACCACAACCTAATTCAGTTATTTCTTAGCCCATAGAGTTAGAGCTCACAGAGACGAGAGAAAGCATTTGTCCAAACTTATTTACACATGCTGAGGCCCAAGGAAATAAAGTAACTCACCCAAGGTCATATCAGGTAGTAGTAAGCCTGGATTTGAACCCAGATCCTCTAACTACAAATCTGCTTCTCTTTGTACTACTAAGATGTTTCCTTATCAGTTGTAGTGGGCCTTTTTCCTTTTCTTTCTTTGTACCCCATCTTCATGATTCTCTATCATGGCCTGTGTCTCGCCATAAGCAAGCAAAATCTTCATAAACTATGGTTGGAAACCCAAGGATTTGTTTATTGTCTAAAATCCAAATCAGATCAACAGATATTTTATCCAGGGCCTGCTCCATGGGAAGCCCAATGTAGTTAGTCCGTGTGATAAAGAATGCAAAAAAATGTATATAAGACAGTCCCTGATGAAGCGTTTGCTCTATCTTGCTGACCATCCTATCACCTGATTAATTACTGTATCTGTTCTTCATATTCAACTTAGATTTTATTTTTTTTCCTCTCTAACATAAACCAAAATAGTTCCTTTTTTTTTTAACTACTAGTGCTTCTGCATTTTTGACACTTATATGCTGGCATCTCATCTTCTTCCCCTTCAGTGTTGCTTACTTTTAAATATTTAACAGCTTCAGGTTGCTTCTTAAGTAATTTCTTTCAGTAGTTGATTCATTTTGGTTACTTTGTTAGCCAAATCCAGCTTCAGGGTCTTGTTCTTAAATTTTCAAGGCTTGATAGGATGTTCTGCTCAATACAGCACTGTCTCATCAGTGGTGATAGAAACAGAAATTATTTACCCCAGCTGGTGTTATCTGCTTCCTAGTGAGTGGGTTACTTTGCTGATGGAGAGCCACTGAAATCCTGTGCCCTGGAGCCTCCCCATTTCTACCACTTTTTATCAGGATCAGGAAATTCATTGTCTGCTAAAGACAGTATCACTTTGGTACAAAGTATCCCCTTAATGATTCATCAAATATTTATTAAGCACCTACTGTGTGCAAGCACTATGCAACTTATGAATCATTCAGTGTACAAATGACCCATAGATAGAAATAGAAGGTGTATACTTACTCTGTCCCAACCCTCACATAACATATCTCTAGAGCCTAATCCCAGCCTAATAATTCTGAGGACCTCTCTAATCCAGCAGCTAAGCTATCCCTTTGGGGATCAGTACAGGAAATTGTCTGATCCTACTTTCCTTTCTTCCATTACCTCAGGAGATCATATACTGAGCTCCTTTCACTACTCACAACTTACTGCATCAAATGAACATCTTTCTTGTGTACATATATATCTTATTTCCTTAGGAAAATCTCTTACTCCTTGCCTCTAGGAGGAAATTTGTTTTGAGAAAAAGAAGGCATTATTTAGATTTCTTCTCTAGAATGATATTTCAAGAAAGGTGCTCCAAAGGAATCCTCTAAGGAATCATCAGCCTCTAAAGCCCCTGAAGTTGCCCTGATGTCACATCAGAATCTCCACAAAGAAACCGAAGACTTTCATGGTTCGTGTGTTTCATTTCGGTTCCATTATGGGTTCATCATTTTAAAGCATTGCTTTTTTTTAAATAGGAAGATGTGTTCTGAGTTGCAAACAACTGATTTACAAATAAACCTTGAGAACAAAACTGGATTGTAAGTCAAAGATGGTAAATTTCAAACTACTGAAATAAATGTAAACAAAAGCACCATGCTAAATTTATCTAGTCACTAGAGAGAGTTGGTGCTACCAAAGGGGTCTGGTTTACAACACCTGACACTGAAAAAGAATCAAATTCCAGAGTCCTTTGAATGGAATGCAGAATAACTTGGATACTTTTTGTTGTCATATCAATACTCATTTCTAAGTTCCTCTCCTCTCACCTCAGATCCTTTGTACTGTTATTACCTTTCAGATTCACCTAACAGATTGTGTGTTGAATTGTCATTCCTAGACATATTCATTTTCCTTTTTTGCAATTTGAATCTCATTTTGTTCTTTTCTGTGCCCATTTGAAATTTATGTCAAACTCGTCTTTTACAGACGAAGGGTCTACCGGGACCTAAATCCATTATATCTCCTCTATTGCCTTCATCATCAATTTTTTTTCCTTGCAGAGCCATAATGTTTTAAACCTTAGCAATCATCCAGTCTCTCCTCCTCATTTCTGAAAGATTAAATTCCTTGTCTGTGGTCACACAGCAAGTTAGAAACTAGACTAAGACTAGAACCCAGATCTCCTAACTCCTTATCCAGTGCTCTCACCATACCATACCATACCATACTGCCTCAATTCTGTTCAGTTTTCCTTGTCTTTAGTTTGAAGTAAACCCATGTTGATCACTGCACATGATTCCATTGTGCTTTATTTTACAAACTTTCCTATTTCATATTTCTTGAGTCAGTTCTATTGATGATTGGATTTAACTGACCTTAATTTTCACACTCCTTCTTTTGGTCACTTTAACTTTTAGAAAGGTTGATACTTTGCCTAGTTAGATGTATTTCTTTAGTTTTCAATGACTTCTCTTTTGAAAATGACTGTGAGCATAGCAGCTAATCTGATATTATAATGTCCAAACCCAGGATTGTGATGAAGTCAAGTTTTACTGCAAGGCATCACCACAATTCAGGGTTTGAACATCATTTGGCATTTGGGCTTTTTTTAGCCCTAGAGGAGCTTGGAAGCAGGACCAAGTTGGACCGGGCGAGGAGGCAGTGGAGCAGGGCCTGATAAGTGAGGCTGACTTCTGCTATCACCTCAGCATCCAAGAGGAGGCCAGTTGAAGGTGAGCCACAATGTATGTAAGTATTTGTGGGGGTGAGGGCCTGGGGGATGTTGATGGGAAGGGAGCTTAAGGGATGGGATATAAGGGAAACAGAAGAGATTTCAGTAGTAAAGACCAGTGCTATGTAGCAGCAGTAGATCTAGACTGGCTGATACAAAGGATGGGTCATGTAAAACGTACTACTTTATATATATATATATATATATATATATATATATATATATATATATATATATATATATATATATATATATATATATATATATACACATTTGTTTCAACTGCTTCTTCACCTAGTAATATCCTTCAGGTCTTTATTATTTCCATACCATCCAGATATCAGTTCCATAGTTCTAAACTGTTGGTTTGGTTTTGGGGGGGATTATTTGTGTTTTTTAAAAGGATCCTTATTAACCATCAGCCTTTACATCACATCTCTCATCTCCTTGTCACTGATTTATTTACAAGTCTTTTCACAGCAAAGAGGAAAAGTACTAGTTCTCTCCCTAACTTGAAATCATGCCAGAATGCATTTCCCAGGCCTTTATCTCTTTACTCAGGGAAAAAAAAATCAGATCTTGGCTTCTTTGAGAACCTACCTGATTTAGGTATGGTGTATTTGTAAGAGCCTTTTGTTTGTATTCTTCAACTGTTTTTTGGGAAAAAAGAAAAAAGAAAAGAAAACCTCACTGCTATTTTTGTGTTGTTTGTTGATGTGTGTTTTGTTTTTGTTTTTGCCAGGGGGCTGGGGGTGAACAGTGCTGGTGGAGAGTGGCAAACTTCCTCCCTCACTTTTCCCAAACTAGCTTTCAAAGAATGAAGATATTTGCTCATTTCCATCTTTCATTTCTAGGGCATGACTTTCTATGTGCCTCATTCTTTAAGAAGACTCTCATAAAGATTGTTGGCTTGCTTCCTCTCGTTATCATTTTTGATACTACCCCTCAGAATTGTAGTCTGATATGTAATTTAATGCAGATTTGCAGATAGCTACTTACTCACATGCCTGAGACAGGCTCTTTTATCAACATTATCCATAAACATTTGCTAAATGGCAAAAAAATTTGAAAATTTTGATTATAGCCCTTAAGGAACTCATAGTCCAACAGAGATATGATTAAATATGAAGCATGACTATCAGTAATGTGATTTTTAAAAAATACGTCCCAGAACTTATACATCTAAATGAGTATGATCTGCTTCAAAGTAATCCCGTTGGCAGGCTGAGTAGTTATTCCATCAATGTTACCATTGCTGAACCCAGGTTTTCAGCTTCTTTGGATACCCTTTGAGAGCCAGCAATACATTCCTTTGATCTTCAGTGGTGGCTCTCATTTGTCCTTTGAGGGTAGATTTGACTCTTAGAAACAGAAGAGAATTATTTGGAGCCCAAATTGATGAAAAAAATCAGTGACATGTTAGGGGGTGGGAAGTAGTGATTTGTATAGGGCAGGTAAACACTTAAGTTAAAAAATGAATGATTGAGACATGCACACACATGATAATGAGCTGATGTAGGGTGGTAGCTAAGTTGAGGTTAATTAAAGGAAACTTAAGAAGTGGATTTTGAGCTGAGAGCAGTAGGATAAAAAAAAACACAGGATGGTGGAGAAAAAGCAGGCTTTTCAAGGTCTGACTTCTCAAATAAAGGATCAGATGTAGGAGACAATAAAGTTTTCCCAACTAGAGTAGTATGGAGAGGTAGGCCTTGGGAGAGAAGTGCTATTAGGTAAAGCCTTGAAAGCTCACAGACAAAATTTCTTCTGTGTCCAAGATTAAAGGTTAGGGAATTGGGGACAGCAAGGGGGAGTTAGCACAACTAAACAAGAATAGTTCCTTTTTTCTTTTCTTGCCTTCAGTTTCTTTATCTACTTTATCTGCTTGTAAGCAGAAGTAAGGAAAGCAACATGGAGAATGCTCTAGATTGATGTGATGTTCACTAATTCAAAGGCTTATAGACCTTAGAGTCATTTGATTTACTTAAGATTGTACAACTAGCAAGTGGAAGAGTCAGAACTTGAACCCAGGTCCCCTCTTTCCAATTCATTACACTGTGACAGAAGTAGTGAAAAGAAATTAACAGCCTCCGAAGAAGAACATGATCAAAGAAGAATGATATTCCCCATTGTAGCCTTAATCCATTGGGTGACTGCAAACTTAGAGGGGGTGTGGTCTGGTCACAACATAATGGGTGTGTTGCTTCAGTTAAGTGGCCAGACTGGCAAGAACCCATGTATAGAGCCTGTTCTGCACTGATTAAACAAGTCATCATTCTATCTTCCCCTCTTCCCAAACAAGTAGAGGAGAAATGATGCAGGCCATGTTCTGCTCTTTCTAAGACAGGCTTTCACAACCTCTTTGTTTCTGAAGGCAAAAGTCATAGGAATCTGTTCTTTGTCCTTCAATGATTGGCAGTTGGGGGATGAGTCTTAAATTTTTCTCTGCTTATTCATTGACCTTTCTTGTAGCTTCCCAACCATTTGAACTCCTGAGGGAGGCCATATGATAGAGTGGAAAAGGCAGGGGCAGGGGGGAACCCATGACATTTGGAGTCAGAGAAGTTGGTTTTAATATCAGCTCTTACACTAACTAGCTTTGTGACCCTAGATAAGTCATTTAATCCCTCAGAGCCTCAATTTCCTTATCTGTAAAATGAAGATTATAAAACTTATACTACTAACCTCACTAGGTTGCTGTGAGGAAAGAACTTTGTAAACCTGAAAGTGTTATCTGAAGGTGAATTGTAATTACTGTAAGAAAAAAACAATAGATTTATTTCCCTCTTGCTAGAATTGCTTTTCTGTTCCTCACAGGGGAGAAGGGGGCAGGTACAGCTTTCTGATTCTTTTAGTGGTTTTAATTCTGTTCTAGCCCCACCTAGAGAAGGTGCAAATGGAGTTCCATTCCTGCCCTCTTCCATCTTCACTCTCTCATTCCCTTTTCCTTCTTATCAAAGCACAGGCTGACTGGGAGATGATCAAAATAGAAAGTGGTAGAGACAGAGGAGAGAACCATAAGAGGTCTCTTTGGTCCCCATCTCAAGTGCTGGAGGAGACGTTGCTGGAGCAAAGCAGTGTGAGTGCTTCCTTTTTTCCCACCAGCTTTGTCAATGCCTTGGTGTTTTGGCTTATTTTGTCTTTTGAGTTACTTTAGTCTCTCAAGCATGGGTAGAAGTTTATTATGTTTTGTACTCACCGTGTCTTGTCCTGTCCTTTCAGTACCCCCGCCCTTTTTGTGGATCAGAATCTCAGGAGGCTCCTGCATTTCTGTCAAATAGTGAATCATAGATCACAGAGCCATGAGTCTTCTCTATGTATAGACACAACTTCATTAGTATTGAGGATTCTTCACTCTTGTCATATGTTTAAACGGGGAAGACATAGACCTCATTCATGGATGATACGATTTCCTTAAAACGTAACTAGCACCCTTACATTGTCTCTCCAGTAAGAGAGATACATAGTAGTGAAAGCTAGAGAAGGGAGGCGGTAATAGTAATTCTGGTTCTGGCCACCTAGTTTCCTTGCTCTTCTAGCATCTGCTCATTCATTTAATATTCAATCATCCTAGATGGATAGATGGATGGATGCATGTCTCAGACTTTAAGTGTGGGCCAAAATGAAAAACATGGGATTTAGTAGTGATGATACAAAGTCCTACGCTTGGATTCCAAAAAGCAACTCCTCAAAGTATAGGATAGGAGGAATGTAACTAGATTAAAAACAGTTTATGTGGAGAAAGAAGAACATCAACTGGGTTTTGCAGAAACTGTGCTGGCAGCAATGTGATACAATGACCAAAAAGTGTAGGAGTCATAGGGAGATTGAATCTGGTGTGCTAGGTAGATTACTTATGTGAGTCTCACACTGGAAGCATGGAAATGAGTTAGTATTTCTATTAGAATAATCTCTTAAGTAGTAATTTTAATAAAATTTCTCTTCCGGTGAATCTTCTAATGACTTGATCACCAAGCCAGCATTTTTCAAAGGTTCTGAGTCATAGTAACAAGATGTTTTTTAAATGGCAACTTCATGCCACTTTGTCCCAACTCAGGCTTCAAAACTATTTCACAAAGTTTGGAAACTACTTGGGAAATATTTCAAACCAGTAGATCTAGTAGTTCTTGAGGAATCTAAAATCCCCACTGTCCCCAGTTTCTCAAAGAAACTTTGTGGATACTCTTTAATTTTAAAATTATTGTTTATTTTAAATTTAAGAAGATACTCAGGGGGCAGCTAGGTGGCACAGTAGATAGAGCACCAGCCCTGAAGTCAGGAGGACCTGAGTTCAAATCTGCCCTCAGACCAAACATTTGACACTTACTAGCTTTGTGACCCTGGGCAAGTCACTTAACCTGAATTGCAAAAAAAAAAAAAAGATACTCAGACATAAAATCCTAATAGATAAACTCATCTTCTCCAAGTTTACATTTGGAACTTTGACATTATTTTAACTGAGTTTAAAAAAAACCACTTTGCCCTGTGGATCAGAATTATCTGTAATTGTTTAGTTGTTTTGCTTCCCACCCAGTACCCTCTCTCCCCTGTCCTTGATGTCTCTTGGAGTGTTCATCTCATTACCTAGAGTCTGAGCTTTAGGTGAAGTCACTCACTTTCCTGGTTTCTCTTTCCCAGTATAAAATCTTGAGCTCTTGATATTTACTGTCCCTGGATTTATTGGTAGACTCTGAGATAGGACTAGATCCTGCATCCCCATCCTATTTGTTGTCCCTACATTGTTTTTTGCTTACTGCGTTTCTGTACTGTAATCATAGTTATCATATCACATAGTAGGTGTATGTTTTTAAATTTCCCATTCAATAATATTTTATTCTCTTCCAAGTCTCAGTGCCTTTGTCCTCTATCTTAACCCACCAAAAAATACACAAAAACCTCAATTAAATTTGTGGTCCAATGAATTTTTTTTAATATCATAGAATTGTAGCTTTTTTGAGTTGAGAGGAACCTAGGTTTTAAGTAATCTGTGAACTTGTTTTTTAA